AGAGGTAATTATTTCTTTATAGCATTCACTTGTAGTTTTAGGCAATATTACAAGAATTAGTAATTTATTATCTATTTCTCATTATTGAAAATAAAAGTAATAATTTTACTGTTATTTATCACTTGCAAAAAAAAAATTTTTTTACTTATTCATCTACTTTTTGTTACAAATTATGTCACGTCAAAAATATTATTTCAAATTATTTGTCACTGTATGACAAGCAAAATATTCTTTATATGATACTCAAACTGTGTCTAAGTCAATTAATATCTGTGGCATTGACATTAACCACTTATCAGTCTCACACTGTCCAAATGCATTTTTATCCCCAGACATATCAAGTTTATAACATCATTTTCTAAAATTTCAAAATAATTCTGGTGTTTTCAACTATGAAATGAGATTTTTTTGTCATCACTGTCAATTTTTGTCTGGAAGCAAAGTGTTGAACCAAAGCAGGAAATGGTGAATAGGAAATACATTTTCATAACATTTGGCAATTAGGGAAACAAAAATATGGCAGCATTAATGAATATTATGATTCAAAGGAAAGTTTGATAGCATTAAATAACTTTACAGTTTAAGAAAAAAAAATAACAATTAGATTTAAAGTAACTGATAATATTATATCTTTTTTTAAAAAATAGTGTTATACTACTCCATTACTCATAAAAATAATATTATCATAGTAGATTGTTATCCTAACACTGTTCACTAGCTAGACCTCACTTAGAATTATTTTTGAAATTTCAGTTTCCTTATCTCAGGAAGGATATTGACTTATTTGAAAGGGTTCGGAGGAGGGCCGCTAAGAGATTGTGGGGATGGAGGAGTTATCTTATGGGGATAGGTTGAGATCTTTTATTATATTTGGATATAAGAAGGGTAAGAGGCATAAAAGATTATATAGGGGATTAATTGGATAAAGGCCTATTTGTGCTGTATTCTAAATACAATGCATAAATAGACATAAGTTTAAGATTTGGGAAAGATGGGCTAGGTCCAGTGAAGACAGTTTTATTTTTCCAACCGGGTGATTGGCTTAAGGAATGAGTTGCCATTGGTAGGAGTGGATCCTGGCAATTTACAAGAGCTTAAGAGGGTAATCAATAATATACTGAAAAATAAATGTTTGATTTAAGTTTTTACTTTTTCTCAAAAATGAGTGTACTGAAAAAGCCTTGAATGACCTGATGGTCTCCTGTTGTCATATGTTACGTAATATAGAAGTACAAATTTAATTTTATTTGTATTTATTTATCCTCTGCACCACCATGAGTTATTACCTCATGCTCAACTGCCACGGAATTTCCTGTGCATGCCACAAGCTTTGACCAAACTTCCACCACTACACATATCTGTGTGTATTGCACCAGTCTCTGATATAATAATCGTAATGCTGTAGCCCTCCAACAATGGGAGGACAACACAACTTCCATGCCAGCATTTCCACCCCCAGCCTTTGCTTCTGGCTCTTCACTCCCTTATGAAGAGCAGGTATCTTTTCTGTTTGCTATGCTCATAATTCAGATATGTGACTTTCTTTAGCTTGTATATCATAATGACTCTATTGGCTTCCTTCTGTCCCATTTCCACAATGATCAATGTCTCTCTTATCTTTGTGACTCTTTTGCTATAGCCTAAGGTCATGACCCTTCTGTATTTCTTGAACCCCAGTTTTGTTTATCTGTTTGGGGTGCTCCTCTTTCTCCTTCTTTGTGTCTTTCGTTTCTTCAATTTGCTTGTTTTCAATTTATCGTTATTCCTTTGCTAGATACCAGTTTTCACCTTTTCTCTTCAATGTTTCATACGACCCTAATAGTTTTGATGGAGATGCCTGTTTTATTTATTTGGCTCTTTGGCTTTTATTTCTTCTTCTTCTACTGTCTCTATTTTAACTTGGTTTCTCTGATCTTGGGTTCTCCTTAGTCTGAATGCTTTTCTTTTGGGCATCTGCCTCCCTTCCTCTTCCCTCTTTGACCTAACTCTTGCCCCTTTTCTTATTTACTTTACCAGTCTTTGGGGGTGTTCCCCATTCCTTGCTATCTTGAGCTGTTCACCTACAATCTTCCTTCAATTTTCTAGTTTCTTGTCTCACTAGACCACAATCACCTTAGTTAGCTACCTGATTTTGAGAGTCCTGTGGGACTACTCCCTCTCCTGTTCTTCTTCCTGTTGTTTTTACTCACTGTTTCCCTCCTACAGGGTGGGCTGTCAAGATTCTTGGTAGTAACTTGTTCTTGGAGCTGTTTCTTGGCTCTGGAACCTTTGGTGCCTGCATTGCCCTGTAGTCTTCCTTCACCAGCTACTCTTGAGCTAAGTTCTATCTTAAGGTCTGTTCCTGCTTTTCATACTCCACATCATCTTTCTCCTCATCCTGAAACCTGTACTTTTTCCTCTAATCTTCTGCACCTTCAACATCTTCCCGGAAGTTTTCTTGATTGTCATACAGGGCAGGCTCATCCATCTCTTGTATCTTCCTGCTATTGGAAATCTTGGTATTGAAGACTCTTCACTCTCCTTTTCTTCCAGCATGAGTGACTCTCATGCTTCTGGAGACTTTGGATTTTCTATACACATGCATCACTTTAATGAGCTTTGGAGAATCTGTGGCACATATCACGTGATCCCATATCTGCTCTTGTGTCTCTCCTTTATTTTCCTCTGTTGTGATGGTGTGATCTCTCCAATATGGCCTGAGGTATTCCATCTCGCTTCTGCCACTGAACTTAACTTATATCTTGCTTGTGCTTGCTGTCTTTAGTTGTGGTACTCCATTGCACTTTCTCAATGTGGACCAAATTCCAAATGGTTGTACCTGATGAAAGTAGTCCATGCACACACTCCTTTGTTCTCCCATACGCAAATCCTCTCCGCTTCTAGTGGAACATGGGGGAACCCTTACTTCTCCAGTCCCAATCCATTGTCAAAGTTGATATGGAGAGTTTTCTTTGTGAGTGGTGCATTTCCCCAGTAAGAAACTAGTTGGGCCCACTCATAATTTGAGATGTAGGGCTGGCTTATAGTCTGGATCTACCTCATGTACGTATTTGACCAAGAGAGAGAACGGTCTGGAGCCCTTTTTACACTACACATTCTAATGTTCCATCTGCCATGTCGACATCTCCACCAGCACTTATTTTCCTGCCATACTTCATTCCAATATCACAATATCCCCTCCCCCCCCCCAAAAAAAACAATTTGGTGAAGAGTATTCCTGCTTGAAACGGAACTCGTCTCCCAATGGCTGCTGTTCTACTAGGCGATCTTCCACCTCCCAGTCTCATTGAAACCACAGCCTATATAGGCTTTCCCTTTCAGTCGCTATTTCAGAAAGGAACTTTTGTCATTGATCATCACCTGTCCTTCCACCATCTTCAGTGTGGGTTTCTAGTTCTTTATGGTGGAGATAGGTAAGTAACGTTTCTAAAGTTAACATTTTCTTTATATGAAAATGTATTTCGTATAGATACTTCTCTGCACTACCTTCCACGTGGACATGTGTGGCGATGGGAGTTTCTTCAAGGCAGGAAATTCCACGGCAGTTGCGCGCAAAGTGGTAGCTTTTAGTGGTGCAGAGAGGTATCTACCCGAAATACATTTCTAGATAAGGCAAATGGTAACTTTGTGGATGATATGGCAATATCTTTCATCTGTTTATGGAAATAAATAATAAATTTCCTGCCTTTTAATTAAGTTTAAATGTTTACAAAGACTCTTTATTGTTTTAATAAATATTTCATGACTTTTGCCGTTTTGTAAATAAACACTATCTTTCCTTATTTTATGTTTGAATTTTAGATTGATGAAGGTCACTAACACGTATAGTCCTTAGTAATGTTGTTTAATGCGACTCAGTTGTTCTGGAAAAAAATTAGCTAACCTACAAAGAAAGCAATTTATTTAGTATTAAATAAACAATTTGGGAAAACATAAAGCCTGAAACAACCGTTTTTTTTCCCCTCTTTGCTGAATACTTTCGTTTACATATTAGATAACAGTTGACGGAGGATTCACGTACGTTTCAGTTATTTTGCTGTTAATTCCAAATATGTTATCAAGTTTAAAACAGTTTGAACTGCTAAAACTGAATCAGTTTTCTAGCATTTTTTTTTCATTTGTTTATAGAAAGTGTAAAACTTTTTCTTTACAAAATGGCTGTTCCTTAGTTTTTCTGTACTGTATATAAAATTTAGACAATCTAGAAAACACTCGAATAGTATTATACTGGTATGTATGTGTGTATATATATTTATATATGAGGGTTTCCTCTTCTCATTATTTATAAAATAACTGTCTCGTAACAGGAGTAATGCTACAATGTATATTTTATTTTGTTATTATAACTTGAAATAAAACTTTCTACGAGAGTGACAGGGAAAGAATGGCATTTCGTGTACCAGACATTTGATACGTGTATGCTGTTTCAAGTATATATTACAGTGTGCAACGCTGTGTATGTTGTATAGTTGGCTTGGTAACAGGCACTACCATTTTACCCAGCAGTACAACAAACTAGAATCGTGAATGACTCTTTAAGGCAGGGAACTATATTTTTCACGCACTAGTTAACAGCTTCATTTAGCTGAACATTTCGTGGTCATGGTACAAAGAACAAGAGTGAACAGTTCATCTAGAGTTTAGAGACAGAACTGTGGGGGAAGAGACAAAAAAGAAGGTAAAGATTACCGTACATATGCCCATATATAGTAGTGATGTGGACTTCAAAGTAAACATACGCGCTACACTGTATAGGCTTTTACGTGTCTGCTCGTGAAGCTTACAAGAACTGCCCTGTATTACTGAAATCGTACGTTAGTCTGTACTTGTGTTCATTTTTCGAACCATTTACTGATGGATGTACGCTGATGCTTGAAAGTTGAAGTTTATTACTGCAGCTGTGCAATATAGATTATATTCAAGAGGCAGTTTTTATGAGGTGATAACACGCAGATATATTTGTAAATTTTATCTTATCGAAGAAAACTCTTCCTGCAAAGAAGAGTCACTAGACGAGAGATATTAAATCGAGTGAGAGAGCGACGTGTATGCTTTTTATTGAGTTTATAAGCCACCAGTCAAGCCTTCAGTTACGGCGGTATACGAAAAACAGGTGATATTTTTAAGTTATTTTTTATTTTAGATTTGCTCTGTTTTACAAATGTGAGGTGAACGTAAATATTAAAAGAAAAAATGTGTATACGTAGTACATAGTAGATTATAGTTACGAGACTTGCTATGTGATATAAATCTGACTGACGTAAATTTTAATACTTTTAATTTTTCTATCCCAGAACTGTCGACACTTTTTTCATTTCATTTGTTTGCTTGCTACAGATTGTTTTCCTGTATAATCAGATTTTAGTAAATAAAGTGTAATGAGCACTTGTGAACATTTGCATATATACGGGTTAACAGTTATTCATTTCCCAAAATGTGTGAGTAGATAGTATTACTGACATTCCATGCTATTAAGTGGCAACGACTTCCGTGAACATTTATTGTTGGTGGTTGATAACTGTTACCGTCAAAGTAACCAATGAAAATTACAATTTTTCATTTATGATATATTTTAAAAGATGTTACAATTAACTTCGAGAAACGTTCGTTCTGTTCGTTTAGGAATGTGTACGTTAGGAGGTTAAGTATTTTCAAGAATTTAGGAACGTTGCATGCCTGAAGGCATATTCATGTCAAGTAATTTTTTCTATTGTATATATATATTTCGATGGTTAAACAAACATACACTGGGACAACATGGGTTGCTCGAAACGCACAAGGACGTAGTTTTACAGCTGAGACCTAATTACTCGAAACTGTACACAGATGGTAGCTGTGCTTTTGACTAACGTTACTTGAAACTGTACATGTGGTATTAAAACTGGAATTTACTCGAAACTGCTTATGGGTGTAACTGCGCTTCTAAAACCAGAATTACTCAATATTGTAAACGAGTGTAAGTGTGCTGCTGAGATCTATACACAGTGACACGGATGTTTGTATTATGGATTTTGGGACCTGATTGCAGCTGATATATATACTTTTTAGATTTAATTTTAGACGTTTCAATAAATAAGCGATAAGCGCAAGTTTCTCAGTGTCTTATTATAGCTTTTCTTTCTTTCCTTCTTTACCTTTATTTCATTTGAATCATTTGTATGCGACAAAACACGAGCAGATTTTCCTATCATTTGATCTATAAAGAATGTAGCACAAAAAATTGTTCTTGGATAAAAAAAAACCACCCAAAAATATTAAATAATTTGTTTCATTTGTAATTGAAGTGATAACTCTTAATAAACACTTCTACAAAGTTTGTTGTTGCTTCATCAGACTTGTATATCTTTGAGAATTGTGTCATCTTTTAAGACCTGATACATGGTCCAGGTTGATGCAAGGTGTTGGCCGGGAGTGGTATTTCACGAAAACACACTTCGAAATAAACAATAGATGAAGTCCACCCGTAACTTCTTTCACTCTACAAGTTTTCAAAAAAGCATCGACAGAATATCTGTAATTTTAAGAGTATTGAAGCATTGATTAGCAGAAATATTGTTGCCTACACAATGAACCACACCTTAGTATAAGACATCAAGGACATACTCTTCTCCTCCACTTGCAGGTTTCATGTCGTATAAGACAAGGGGGCAGTAAAAGTGTGTGAAGATGTTTTAATCATGCTATTACACAGGGTGCTGAGTACGTTATATTAAAACGAATTTGGAGCCTCAATGTGTCGTTACAGTCCGTGTCGCCACGTCTGGTTGTGTTCTATAATGATACCATACATCTTGACAATAGCAACACGGTGTGGTTTGCATTGCAAAAGACTGTTGTAAAGTGTAAAGCTGTCATGTCGAAAACACTTTATTCCTCCGTAAATAATTTCCATAATCTATATAGTATACGAAATGACGGTTTCCCAGCTCCTGTTTCATCAGTCCGATCACACAGAAATCCAAAAGTGCTGCGTCCCATAACTTCACTGATATATCTTTCTTCGCTCCTCAACTTCTTGGGGTATACGACGGTTTAACATAATGTATGACTGAAATTAATCCGTAGCTTGGTGAACCCATACTCGTATTTTTGTGTGGTACAAAGGTTCCAGAATATTGGGTAGTAGTAAGCAGAGTTCACCTTGACCTTTGTATCCACACTCCTAATTCTTGACTTGTCCTTAGCGCTGTATTTAGGAGTGATCATTGGTTCCTGCGTAAGAAGTTTACGATATGCCATGTGCCACCTTTGAAATTTTTTAACCCATTGACCAGTAGAAAATGTCATGAGACTTGTTACTGTTATATAGGTACACATACGCTTCCTCAAATAACACCTTGTACTGCAATTTTTATCTGGGTATACCTTGTACCGTTCATTCAGTTTTCTACAGTTCGTCCTCCTTTACTGGGTATGTCGTGGAAGCAAACTGTCTACACGTGATTTATATCAATTATCCAGACGGAGATTTTTGATTATTTTACGTACTGTTGTCTGAGGCATTTGGACGGTTTTGGCTATTAACCTTCGTGCTCTTGATTCTCATCTGTTACACTGCGTACCACGAGCGAGGCACGATTTGTTGCAGGTCTCTTGATGGTCTGGTCCTGGTGCCCCATGTTGATTTATATTCCTTTGTATTCAATGCTCTCAGTGTGACTTAAAATAGAAATGATATAACTACGTATGAATGATCTGGGATACACGGTGAATGCTTTCTGCAATCTTGGAAAGTTTTCTATGCACAGTTTGTGAAATTTGCATATGGCGCATGTGCCCCAACAGGCAATGTTTTATGGTTACATGTTTCCTAGTAGCTATTTATAGAAACATGTTATATGCACATTCAGAGTTGAAAGTAACGCAAAAACATTTTAAAATCAAAGTTTTGTCTGCCCAATGCTGAAAAAAAAAGCACGATACTTAGTCTTACAAGATATTATTGATTCATACAAAAACATATTACAAAGAAGATTTTGTCATAATATATCAAAATGAAATAAAAAAGAATATCCAAATTGTACCCTCTGTTATAACATATTCAAAATATTTTTTATGGGATATATGGGTCCCACCAATCCTGCAGGAACATACGCTAAGATAAATATAACCAAACATATACTGAAAGTGGTAAGTACAAGGAATGTTCCCGTTTTGGGAATTCTAAATCCCCGATCTGAACACATTTATGATCTGAGGGTATTTTTCACCGGAAAGTTCTGTTACATACCCATCCCAAAATTAATTTATTTCCAGTGACATTACACTACGTAACAATGTAGAAATGTAGTTGTGATTCATACAGTTCCACTGCGACTTTTTTCGGCTGTGGTTGTCAAGTGATTTACTGATTTGCGTATTCAAAATAGTTTTGATATAACATTCACAAACCTCTGTATAATTCCTATTCTGTTAAGCACTGTTTATTTTTTTTTTCACATTCTTTGAGATCTTTCTATATAAATTAACAAAAACTAATAAATGGTAAACTATACATTTGTAATTAGTTTAATTTACTTGTTTAAGGTTTTAGAAACATCAACAAAACCGCTTAGTGAAAAGTCGTGTTTCGTTAGGTATAAATACATTTCTTATTATTTCTATATCGTGTTAAAATGTCAGCAACAGTTGTCCTAGTCAGATAAAGCTGTTGTGAAGGCTAGTTGTTTTGGATATGTACGTGGAAAAAAAAATAGTTCAAGATATGATGGGCAGATTCAGAATCACTATCTTTATTAAAGGCTTACTAATAAACAAAAAATGCCAGAGAAAAGAATGGTGTATATTTCATGGTAAATAATATACGCTTTATAACATTTTATGATTTATTATTATTATTATTTTCCATTAATTATCAAAAGATGTATATTTATGAATCCTAATAATTTCTTGGTGCCATCATAGTTTGTTTTATGTTACGTAAAATCTGGGGTTCGATTCCTGTTATT